AGTCCGACAGAGAAACTGTGATCCCTTTGTATTTCCCGCCAGCTTTGGTTGTTGTTGTAGACTTGAGAATGAGCTTTGTGGCCTCATCAACGTAGAAGTAGAACTCTCCTTTCTTGACAATGACCAACAGACTGAGACCTGTGACAGGATCTATAATGCATCTTTCAATCAGCTGTAGGTAGGTGAGATTCTCCTTAGTGTTGGGGTCAAAGAAACCCTTGGTGTCATCACCTGAGTCGGATAAAATCCTGTTCATTTCTTCATCAAAGTAACCTCTTTGGTATGCTACCTGTACTGGCACTCTGTGACTATGGACTGGATCAATTATTCCTCCTGTTGCAATTTGTGCTTCAAGGAGACGGATTCCGTGATCTTTGACAATCAGATCTTTCTGCAAGGCCTGGAACAAGGATATTGTGTTCCCGGTGTAGGGGTCTTTGTATCCTGTAACTGCTCTTTCTGCTGAAAGCAGTTTGTCCTTCCATTCTTTGCCCACCACACTTTGAGCTACAGCTTCTTCCACAGAAAGTTTCTTGTTGTTTACTGGATCAATGACGAAGCCAGTGGCAGCCTGGGCCTCCAACAGAACCAGGGAGGTACCAGGAGTCAGTAGACCTCTACTTTTGGCTTCATAGATGCTCAGTGTCTCCTTTGTGGACTGAATGTATACTCCTGCAATGCTGTTGGTTCCCTCAAGGTACTTACGTACCGACGCCATTTCACTAACTTCAGCCACTGTGACATTTCCAGAAGTAATTTCCTTGTAAAGTTTTTCATCAATAATCTCTGATTTAACCAGCTCAGATACTGTTACATCCTTTCTTATGCCCTTTAATGTTTTGTCTTCAGTGGTCTCTGTGATTGTTGTGGTGATGGTTCGCGTGGATGTTGTGGTCTGCTGCTGAATGATTGTCAAGATGATTTCTAAAAAGCGTTCAATGGTGATTGTTCCAGCTTTGAACTGTTGGACAAGGTCCCTCCTCTTTTCTTCTGTGATGTATTTAGAGTATAGCAAGTCCCACAGAGAAACTGTGATCCCTTTGTATTTCCCGCCAGCTTTGGTTGTTGTTGTAGACTTGAGAATGAGCTTTGTGGCCTCATCAATATAGAAGTAGAACTCTCCTTTTTTTACAATTGATAATAAGTTGAGCTCTGTAACAGGATCTTTTGCACATCTTTCAATTAGCTGCAGGTAGGTAAGGTTTTCTTGAGTATTGGGGTCAAAGAAACCCTTGGTGTCATCATCAGCATCAGATAAAATTTGGTTCATTTCTTCATCAAAGTAACCTCTTTGGTATGCCACCTGTACTGGCACTCTGTGACTGTGGACTGGATCAATTATTCCTCCTGTTGCAATTTGTGCTTCAAGGAGACGGATTCCGTGATCTTTGACAATTAGGTCTTTCTGCAAGGCCTGGAACAAAGAAATTGTGTTCCCGGTGTAGGGGTCTTTGTACCCTGTAACTGCTCTTTCTGCTGAAAGCAGTTTGTTCTTCCACTCTTTGCCTACCACTCCGAGAGAAACAGCTTCTTCTACAGAAAGTTTCTTGTTGTTGACCGGGTCAATGACGAAGCCAGTGGCAGCTTGGGCCTCCAACAGAACCAGAGAGGTACCAGGAGTCAGTAGACCTCTACTTTTAGCTTCATAGATGCTCATAACTTTTTTTGTAGATTCAACTCTGACACCCGCTATACAGTTTGTAGCTCCAAGGTACTTCTGAATGGATTCCATTTTGTTTACATTTTCCTCACTTACTTCGCCTTGTATAATTTGGCTGAATAGTTCCTTTGAGATAATCTTCGACTCAAACAGTTCACTTGCTGAAACTTGTTTTCTTAGTCCTTTGAACTTTCTTTGTTTGGATGATAGCTCTGTAATAATTACTGTGAGGATTTCAATTATTTCCTCTATTTTCAGAACTCCTGTTTTGTACTGTTGTATCAGCTGTTCCCTCTTTTCTTTTGTGATGTATTCAGAAAGCAACAACTCCCACACTGTTACTTCTTTGTTCTTGAATTTTCCTACATTTAGGGAAATACTCTTGTTTTTAAAGGCAAGCTCCACCTGCTCATCTGTGTGAAACACCCTGGACTCTTCTTTATGCAGTGGCAGAAGAAGCAGCCCAGTTTTGGAATCTCGCTCACATCGACTCATTAGCTGAAGATATGATAGATTTTCATTGGTATTAGGGTCAAAGAAGCCCTTTGCATCATCACTTGGGCTTAACAAAAGTTTGTGAGTTTCTTCATCAAGGTATCCCTTTTTTATAGCTATATGAGAAGGTATTCTGTGGCTTTGATTTGGGTCGATTATTCCTCCAGTAGCGATTTGTGCATCAAGAAGAAGGAGACCTTCCCTTCTTTCAATCAGTCTTTCTTTCATTGCCTCAAATAGGCTTATAGTGCCATCTGTGTAAGGATCTTTATAGCCAGTGACAGCACGCTCAGCTGAAAGAAGCTGCTCATGGAGATCTGGTCCAATTACATTCTCTTTCGCAGCTTCATCGACTGAATAGAACTTGTTGTTCACAGGATCAATCACCCATCCTGTTGCAGACTGTGCTTTGAGCAGTACCAATGCAATGCCAGGTGTCAAAAGATCTTCGTGTTTTGCTTTAGATATGCTCATTACATTCTGAGTTGGATAAATTTTGATGCCAGCAATGCTTTCGGTTCCCCTAAGGTATTTTGCAACGGATTCCTTTTGGCATACTTCTTTAAAGTCCAGTTTTCCTTCCTTAACCTGTTTGAATATGGCTGAGTCAATTATATCAGAATTGAGAAGTTGCTGTGCAGAGACCTCTTTTCTCAGTCCCGTTGTCACTTTCAGGGTTTCGTTCTCCAGTTTGTCGATTGCAGAGAGCACTAATGTAATTATATTTTGGGTGGTCATCTGCCTCAATTTTGCTTTTTCAATCATTTCCAGCTGCTGTTCTTCAGTAAAATAACAAGAGTGAATCAGGTCCCAGAGAGAAACGGATTTTCCTGAAAACCGTCCCACACTTACAGTGACAAATTTCTTTTCAAACTCTTGCCTTATTTCCATTTCCGTGTAGGTGTTTTCTGTTTTTTTCGTAGTCTTTGGTGTGTCGTTCAGTGGCAGGAGAAGGAGTCCAGTTTCTTTATCTTTCACACATCTACTCAACATTTCCATGTATGTCAGGTTTTCTTGTGTCTTTGGGTCAAAAAAGCCCTTTGTGTCATCAGTGGGGTCTGTTAAGATTTGATTAAGTTCTGCATCAAAATAACCTTTCCTGTATGCAACTTCTAGAGGTAAATGAAGGCATTTCAATGGATCAATAATGCCGCCAGTGGCAATTTGAGCCTCGAGTAAACGAATGCCATGCTGCTTGACAATAAGATCCTTTTTTAGGGCTTGGAATAGGGAGATCTTTTGACCTGTGTAAGGATCTTTATACCCAGTGACAGCCCTCTCTGCTGACAACAGCTTTTCGTATGTTTGTGGACTAATGACCATTTCTTTCAGTGCTTCTTCTACTGTAAGTTTCTGGTTTTTAAGAGGATCTACAATAAATCCTGTAGCTGCCTGTGCTTCAAGGAGACATAGGGCAGTGCCTGGGGTGAGGATACCCATTTTCTGTGCCTCATAGATGCTTAGCTTTTGATTGGAGGGTTGCAGTATCAAACCTGCTACACAACTTGTGCCCTGCAGGTAAGCTCGGACACTTTCCATCTTCATTAAATCACTACTTGACATCTTTCCATCAATTAAATTGTGGTATGTTTTATCATCCACAATTTCAAGATCCAAAAGATCCACAACAGAGACCTCTCCTCGGAGACTTCTGAAGTTGAGCTCTTCTTGCTGCTTTATCTCCTTACTCTCAATTATCTCTATGATAATAAGTGTTAGTTGCTCTATGGTGATTTTCCTGGATTTGTAAAGTTTGAAATACTCCTGTCGTCTGTCCTCAGACAGATATTCTGAATTAATTGCTTCCCACAGAGTTGTGCTGCCCTTGAATCTGCCATACTTGACATTGATTGTCGTTCTTTGAAAAGCCTCTCTCATCTTGTCATCAATATTTATTTTTCTCCCTTTGCCTTTCAGAGGTAAAAGGCACAAGCCTGTACTGGGATCTTTGACACATCTGGCCATTAGCTGCAAGTATGTCAGGTTCTCATGTGTATTTGGATCAAAGAAACCTTTGGTGTCATCACTTGGATCACTCAAAATCTGATTCATCTCCTCACTGAAGTACCCTCTCTTATAGGCTACGTGCACAGGGATTCGGTGGCTGTTTACTGGGTCAATGATACCACCAGTGGCAATCTGTGCCTCTAGAAGTCGAATCCCATGGTCTTTCACGATCAGGTCCTTCTGCATTGCTTGGAACAGGGAAATTATTTTTCCATCATGTGGATCTTTATAGCCAGTCACTGCTCTCTCTGCTGACCGCAACTTGTGACAAACATCTGGTCCCACAACCTTAGCTTTGACAGCATCATCCACAGAAAACTTCCTGTTTCCAATAGGGTCAATAATGAAGCCAGTTGCTGCCTGTGCCTCCAGTAGAATCAGAGCCGTCCCTGGCATTAGCTTTCCTTTTTGTCTTGCTTGGTAGATAGTCATAATTTGGGAATCTGGAAGCAGAATACCTGCAATGCTGTCTTTTCCCTGTAAGTACACATTTATATTTTCATCTTCCATTACATCTTTTACCGACTTTCTTCCCTTTTCCAGATCCTCCAGCACATCCTTGCTGATAATTTCTGCTTCAACAAGCTGCTTGGCTGTGACAGATTCCCTGATGCCCCCAAAGACAGTTTTTGTTGATTTTACAGATGTCTCTATGGTTTGCAAAACTATTTTTTTGATAGTCTCAATATTTACCTTTCCTTCCCTGTATTTCAGAAATATATCTGTCCTCTGCTGTTCATCAAAATACTCTGACATCAGTAGTTCCCACAAAGATACCTCCATTCCCATGTACTTCCCACATGCCACTTTGACCTTCTCCGTTTTGAAGACTGTTTTTGTTATGTAATCTATAAAGCTAGAATTAAATTTCCCTGTCTTATCATGTAGAGGAAGAAGGCACAATCCGGTGACGGGATCGATAACGCACCTTTCGATCAGCTGGAGGTATGTTAAATTCTCTTCTGTGTTTGGATCAAAAAATCCTTTTGTGTCGTCTCCTTCATCTTCTAGTATCTCATTCATTTCTGCATCAAAAAAGCCTCTCTTGAAGGCCACTTGTGTGGGAAGCCTGTGGCTGTTGATTGGATCAATTATCCCACCTGTCGCAATTTGTGCCTCCAGAAGTCGAATTCCATGTTCCTTGACGATGAGATCTTTTGACATTGCTTGAAACAAGGATACAGTGTCTCCTGAATATGGATCTTTGTATCCGGTTACCGCTCGTTCAGCAGAACGAAGCTTCAAATGGTATTCAGGGCCAACAAGTTTGTGCTTAATAGCTTCATCTACAGTGTACTTTTTGTTTTCTACAGGATCGATCATAAACCCAGTTGCTGCTTGTGCTTCCAGCAAAACAAGAGCTGTACCTGGCATCAGTATCCCTTGCTTCATGGCTTGATATATGCTCATTCTCTGGCCATTTGAAAGATCAGCAATTCCTGCTATACTGCCTTTACCTTCCAGGTATTCTTTCACAGTTTCCATCAACATCACATCTTGCGTGGTGGTTTTTCCGGTTTTCAAGTCTTCATAGGTTTTCTGATCAATGATTTTTGACGCTAATAGTTCACTTGAGGAAATGCCTTTTCGCAGACCTTTGAAGGCAATGCAGACAGGAAGAAGCGTTAAGCCAGTGTCAGACTCCACAGTGCATCTTTCCAGAAGGCCTCGGTAGTTAAGATTTTCTTGTGTGCTTGGATTGTAGAAGACTCTCAGCTCTGACATCTGGTCACTGATCAAAGACTTTTCATAAAGACCCTTTTGAATTGCATCATCAACTGAAAGGGTTGTCTTCTCCACAGGGTCAAAGATACCCTTGGTGGCTATCTGTGCTTCCAGTAGCCTCAATCCATAATCTCTGGGGACTACATCTTTTTGCATAGCCTGGTACACTGATATCATCTGATTAGTGTAAGGGTCTATATACCCACTAATGGCTTTCTCTGCAGAAAGGAGTTTCTCCCTCATTTCTGAACCAACAACACCCTCTTTAACAGCATCTGCAACAGGAAGTATTCGATTGCCAATCGGATCTATAATACCCACTGTGGCAACTTGTGCTTCAAGTAGAGCTAATGCAGTCCCTGGTTTAAGCAAACGTTGTTTCATTGCCTGATAAATTGTGATCTTCTCTCCTGTCTTCTCCAGAAATATGCCTGCCACAGGTTCATGGACTTCACATCCATTTTGCTTTGCTGTAGCGTTCTGCTCGATGGATTTCATCTTGACCTAAAACACAGTGGTAAAACACAAGTTATTTAAACTTGTTTAGGTGTAGCTAACTATTATTTTAGGGAATGCATTCACTGATATAAAGAAAATAACACATAGTTAAGTACCCACAAGAAATGTTGTAAATTCAGCATACTTGTTCCACATGCAAACCCATGATACAGTTCAAAAGTATTTAATGTGTAAGCAGCTAGCATGTCTATAACAGGCACAAGATTAGTTCACAGGTTTTGAAAGAGTTATGAGACAGAATACTAAATGAAATTAAGCAGACACTAAGAATAGACGGGTTAGATTTCATTACCACTTGCTTATGGAGTTCTTAAAGCCTCACATGAGAACGTATACTGACAGTTCCCTCAAGTGGCCATTATGATAGTAAGATGAAGCCAATAAAGGATTACAAAGCAAGATATAAACATAATGTTTTGTCAAAGGTTTATTCTGCCTTTCACCCTTATTTCTGAAGATCTCCAACAATATGGGCAAAATGCAGGGGTAGATGGATGGATGATGGATGGATGGATGGATGGATGGATGATGGATGGATGGATGGATGGTGGATGGATGGATGATGGATGGATGGTGGATGGATGGATGGATGGATGGATGATGGATGGATGGATGGATGGTGGATGGATGGATGATGGATGGATGGTGGATGGATGGATGGATGGATGGATGATGGATGGATGGATGGATGGTGGATGGATGGATGATGGATGGATGATGGATGGATGGATGGATGAATGGATGATGGATGGATGGATGGATGGTGGATGGATGGATGGATGGTTGATGGATGGATGGATGGTGGATGGATGGATGGTTGATGGATGGTTGATGGATGGATGGATGGTGGATGGATGGATGGATGGATGGATGGATGGATGGATGGATGGATGGTGGATGGATGGTTGATGGATGGATGGTGGATGGATGGATGGTTGATGGATGGATGGATGGATGGATGGTGGATGGATGGATGATGGATGGATGGATGGTGTTTGGGGGGACCATTCATGGGTATAATATCCACATTTCTGGAATCACTTACGATCAATTCATGTAGAATCTCTCTATTCCACCAGTTTAATTTCAATGAAAACTTGGTACATAAATGTAGAAGTTTAGGGTTTTTTTCCCCACTTGACTCATGGTGTTCCTCAGGGATCTGTCCTTGGCCCACCTCTATTTTTTATTTTATTTTATTTTTTTTGCAAAAAAAAATTTTTAACTATCATATCCTATTATTATTATTAATAGTATATTATAATAAAATTATTATTCTGCATTACTATTATTAGTTTTACTATTATAATATGATTACTATTATTATTACACTGTTAATACTCTGGTGTTGTAATCAGGCAGTAGATCATGGACCACTTTACATGATATTGGACGGCTTTTTCTGGGTCATTTAGTTTATATCAAACCTTTTAGTTTTGTGATGAGTCTGAAAATGGAAGTAATCCCTCTGATTCACCACTTCTTCTGAAGTCCAGGATGATGGATGCAGAAATTAGCGGTTGATTTTGCAGGACTATAGAGGTTTTCTCCTGAAAGACAGAGATATAACAAAAAGGGTTTTTATTTTCTCACACCTTTATCAATCAGATTGCTAACCCTTTCTTTTTAAAATTCCTCTCTTTTATTAAGTCTTCCCTTATTCTTACATGTTGTTATGTATAGAGGTCAGAGGAGGCAGGGGATTAAATACACTCTTTGCTTATCTTCTGTTATCTGACAAGACATTATGGGTAAAAACCAGAAGAGCCAGATTCACCGTGTTGTAACACCAAGCATGGAAAAACAAACAATTGAATGTGTGGTATGAACACCTTTCGCAAGACTTTCCCTGTCTTCAGATCTAGAGTAGATAATGCCAAGCCCTCAGATAGATTAGAAGATACAAAGAGCATATGCTAAGGAATGAGCTCACACCCGCTGCAGAAAGGAAAATCCTCAATGGCTGATTAGGACAAAGACATTCCTAAGAATGTCACATAAAAACCTGCTGCAGGAACTTTGTGAACAACTTTATAAAAAATAAAAGGAAGGAAAGAACAAAAGAGTCTGAATCACATTCAGACCATTAAAAGAACTAAACACGGCTTTAGATATTACTTTAGGAAGATATTTTCCCTTTCATTGATAAAAATTAAACTTCAAACAAATGTGCTTGACCAATTTATGGACAAATAAACGGAAATTTGACATTTTAGAGCCATAAAACATGTAAATATAAAAGTGTGCACTATAAATAAATCATTAGCTTTTTATTATATTATTGGCCTTAGGGGAGTGTTTAGTGGTTATAGCAGTGCTCTGAGAAGGTTGCAAGTACCCGGTTTGATCCCATAGCCTGCACTCTGGGTC